GGGGGGGGGGGGGGGGGGGGGATGGGGCAGTTGCCCCTACTACAATTTAAAAAACTTTTTAAGAAATTTAAAATTTTTAAGAATTTGCCCCATTGGATGAGTTGTTAAAAATTTAAAAATGGTTTCATATATTAGAAATTATATGAGATTCTTTTTTACATTAAATACTTAAGTCTCTCAATAAATCATATTTTAATAGAAATCCGATTCAATTAGTCGTAGTAAATTGATATTATTGACTAACAATCTGAGTCCAATTTGATTATATAATAATAATTTTTCAATTTTGATTTTTGATATTATACCAAAATTCGATCTGACTATTCTGTCTAATTTATATGCATGTATATATTGCTATATGATGAAATTGAATCTAAATTAAGATATAATTTGTTAAAGTTCAAATTTAATTAATTTATGGGTTCAATTGGATTTCAAATATTTAATTTATCGGATGTGAATTGTTTAATCGAAATCTATTAAATAATTAGATTGAATTTATAAAAAAAATTGGAACGCATATTTAGATCAGAGCTTTCAGATCGACACTCCAAACCCAGTTCAAATCCGATCATTGCAGGCGTACTCAACTTTTGGATTTTGATTATTATCGCTTTATCATTTTCTTCAACCCGAGAGTTGCTCCCCGCTATGGAAAAAGTCAAGCTCTGCCACTACTCTCAGTCAACCCTTTTGTATTTAAATTTTTGGATTAATAACACCTTTGGTTTTTAAAGTATACATATTTTATCAATTTAGTCCATAAAATATCAATTTTATTAATTTAACCCCTTAAATATCAATTTTATTAATTTAGCCTCCAAAATATTTTATTCGTGTTTAAATGATCCTTATATAAATGGTCCGTTAAAGTTTTACCATAATGAATCACATGTTAGTCACGAGATACTGTTTAAAAAAATAATATATGACCACTTCCTTAAAAAATACATAATGAATTATTTGATTAAAAATCAAATAAGATAAATTAAAATTTTAAAGACTAAATTAATAAAATTAATATTTTAGTGATTAAAGTGATAAAACGATTGTACTTTGAAGATTAAAAGTAGTATAACCCTAATGTTTTAAACAGAATTTCGTTTTACTATCCCAATAACCAATCAAAAATATGTCAAGTCATAGGTGAAACGTGCAAAGAGCTTTATCAAGTGGAAAGAGAGGTGGTGGTGGAGGTGGAGGAGCCAACACCTCCTACCCAAGTCAAGAAGCTACAGTGTATCACACAACACCAAACCATTTCTATCCATAAATATCAAGGCAAGTGGCACACATTGATTTATAATCAAATATGGGCTGGCCCATTAATATATTCTTTGGGCCCCATGAACACAATCTTCTTCGTCACTCCATGGCGCGCCAGATGCACTCTTTCATTTAACGGCCCCGATTTTCCGGAGTTTTCTAGGGACCCATGGATTATCGATTGTGGTTTGATCAAACGGCGGCGCGTGGGATTCACGGTGGGCCTTGCACTTTATTTGTGTCGTTTGGAAAACGACAGGCATTTTTTTAAAGACTTCTCTCTCGAGTGGGTGTTTGGAGGGGTGTTATCATGTTTGTCCCTTTTCTTCTCCTGCCATCGGATTGAAGTGACAAATTTTATATTTTATATTTTTTATTTAATTTAACGGTTAAAAATATTCGAATTAAATTACGTGTATACGAGAGTATTAATCGAACCAAATTTTACAAGTTAAAACTTGAGCTTATCGAGGTTATTTTTTTAAATTAATCTAAAAAATTATTTAAACTCGACTTGTTTAAAACTTGAGTCAAGTTCGAGTATGAGTAGCTCAATTATTTTATATATAAACGAGTCGAGTCTTTAAGGCTAGTTTTTCTACAAAATTGTTCATGCTCAGTTCGTTTAGAATACTAGTCGAGTTCAAATCGAGTCTTATTCAAGCTGAACTTGAGTAGTTTGTCTTGATTAACACCTCTACATGCACCTCGATTAATCTTCATATTGATCTGATCAAAGTGAAGCCATCTACGTCAGGACTAAGCTATTCATGAGTGATAAATCCCTCAAAGTTTGACCCAAAAAAATTATCAAAATTCAAATTTAAGATGTATGAATTTATAATTAATCCTTATTATCACTTGAACTACTCTTAAATAAAAAGGAAAATCTTATCTTTCATTGTGCTTTGTAACTTTGGAATTTGACTATGGTATCGCTAAAAAAAGTTTGGTACCATACCTCTAAAAATTACTACTTCAAAGGGTATTTTTATAATTTTTGTGAGTTATTTTACAACTAAAAAATTTATTATTTTTGTGATTAATATATCACTTTTGTGGGTATTTTTACCAATGTAGTGGGTGTTTTTACCACATTTTTTAGGTACAAAAAAAAAATATCACTTTTGTAGGTAATTTATTACAATTTTGAGTGTTTTTATTACAATTATTTATATTTTTTTCACTGTTGTTATAAGTATTTTTTGNTTTAAAGTATACATATTTTATCAATTTAGTCCATAAAATATCAATTTTATTAATTTAACCCCTTAAATATCAATTTTATTAATTTAGCCTCCAAAATATTTTATTCGTGTTTAAATGATCCTTATATAAATGGTCCGTTAAAGTTTTACCATAATGAATCACATGTTAGTCACGAGATACTGTTTAAAAAAATAATATATGACCACTTCCTTAAAAAATACATAATGAATTATTTGATTAAAAATCAAATAAGATAAATTAAAATTTTAAAGACTAAATTAATAAAATTAATATTTTAGTGATTAAAGTGATAAAACGATTGTACTTTGAAGATTAAAAGTAGTATAACCCTAATTNGGCTGAAATCTTTGTTACAATTTGTCAATAAAAACCGAAATCGACGTATAATTATTAAATATGAGTTTAAATTTCACAAATTTTGGATCATAATCAAATTTATTTGTTAAATTTGATTAATAAATAGATTAAGAAAGATTCAAGTACAAACTAAATGAAGTTACTTAAGATTGATACGAACTTGATTTCACACCAATTATTGCGGATGCTTGCCACGACCATGTGATAAATGAATATAAAATTATTTTTGATATCAATTTAAGATTGTGAAAATATTTAGAACTCAATTTTTTTGAACATTTTTTTATTGGATGGGTATTTATCACCTTGGACTTTTAAATAATCTAAAATCTAAAAGAGTGAGCCTCAAATTTGTAGGATTTGAACCTACGAAATTGGGTTTTAGAGACCCCTATGTTATCAAATTGAATTAATAGTGCTTTCTTATTAGAATAAAAAAGTAAAAAAATAAAATATTAACCCCAATACCAACTATACTAATAATGTTGATCGACAAAGTAGTTTTCATACGGTATTCAGTGTATCCATCAGGGGCAGTACATTGATTGTGATAGCAAGTTTGTGTGGGGCAAATCGGTCAATGATTAGCGTATGTATGTATGTATGTATGTATAACCCTCTTTGTGATATTTTTTTCCTAGTATTTTATACATTGGAAAAGTCAGCTAAATATGCAACATCCCAAGTGAAATTAAGGCCAACCACCTTAAGGCACTTAGAGTGGATATGTGGCATTTCAACGCATGCAATTTGATGGATTGGACACTACAACTTGGCTCAAAGTGGAAAGAAACAACATTGTTTTGAAAGAAATGCTGCGAGTGTATTGGAATTATTCCACCGTAAATAGCAAAATAATAGGAATCAAGGGCATAAAGAGGGATTAAGACATTTCTAAAATATGGGTATCTCGGAGCGAGAACGAGTGTTCATCTGTTCAAACGAAAGTAATTTCATTTGTTTAAAGTTATATCATCAATTCTAGTTTTAAAAGATTGATTATCATTGTTGAGTTATGTACTGGATACTAATTTTTTATATTGACTAGCAATTGTAGTGTTATAAATTGTATGTGATTAGGTTGCCAAAGTGGTCATAGCACAGTTAGCGAAGTGTTGGCATGACACCTTAAAGGAGAGAAGAACGGAGGGTTAAAACCCATCGCTAACAATGTGAAACAAAAAAAAAAAAGCCAAAACTACATAAGTAATTACCATAGTTGGTGAGATTTATGTCAATTTAGTTTTGGCATTATAACAGATAAAAGAGCGTACTCAGAGAAAATATGTTCTTTTTATAGTTTTATTCAATATTATCAATGCAAGAATGCAATAATCTCTAATTTTATTCTTGCTAATGAGTACTTAGAGGGTATAACTTAGTACAATAATAAGATTATTTCATTGTAATTTAAAGCAAGAGTCTCATGCACAAAGATCAATGCAGAATAACTTCTAATTTATTGTTCTATTGTGACTTGGAACGAGAACATCGTACATAAGATAATTTTGTCTTCTCCTATAAGATAAACATCCCTATTTTTAATCTGGAAAAAATATCATGGCTATTGCCATTCCACTTGGCACCACTAGGTAATGTACATTCTTAAATGGCCCTTGTAGCATCTATAGGTTTCCTTCTTGTGGATGAATCCAAACCATTGAGAGGTTTCTTTTTCTGTGAAATCTTTTTCTTTCAATCAAATCAGTTATCCCACTTGCTTTTCTGATGTACCATCAATGTCCCATATAACCTTGTGAAGGCATAATTGTCTCAGCAACTATGTTGCTGAACTATCTTGTCTCAATTTACCTTATGATGCAGCATCCCCCCTTCAATAATTCTCATCCACTCCATTTTTCACCGGTAGGAAAAGGGGTTCAATTCTTTTTCTTTTTTTCAACAGTTAGAAGTGTTTGAGTCAAATTATGTGTATCTTGATTAATTCTCTTTCTGTGAAACGATCTTATTTATATTCATGAATCAATTTATGAAAATGTCGGANTATCTTGATTAATTCTCTTTCTGTGAAACGATCTTATTTATATTCATGAATCAATTTATGAAAATGTCGGACGAGATGGCAAAGAAAAAAAATATTTGGCCCATGCAGGTCTCGAACTTGCGACCTTCGCATTATTAGCACGATGCTCTAACCAACTGAGCTAATAGTCCTAGAAGCCATGCCAAGCCACCACTTTCCATAATTACTATTCACCTTAGCATTGTTGCTAGGCTATAAATATGTGTGAAGAGAAGAATAGACCAATGTTCTAAGTGGATGTAAAAGAATAGCCATGAAGGGTCAAGAGCCCCGTTCAAGCTCTTCTTGTGCAGCCTGCAAGTTCTTGAAGAGGAGGTGCACTCCAAACTGTCAATTTGCACCCTATTTCCGAGCCGACGAGCTGAAAAAATTCGCCAAGGTTCATAAGGTGTTTGGAGCTAGCAATGTCAGCAAAATTCTGAACGAGGTGCCTGAGGAACAGCGCGAAGACACGGTGAATTCGCTGGTGTATGAGGCCGACGTGAGGCTGAGAGACCCGGTCTATGGGTGCATTGGTGCCATTGCTTCGCTGCAGAGGAAGATGGTTGAGCTCCAACATGATCTGCTTGTTGCTAGAGCTCATCTTGCTCATTATGCTGCTAGGAACACTTTGTTCATGGATGATCAATTGAGTACTGCTGGTTTTGCTGAGCTGCAGGTTTGCAATGGCCTCTTTGAGAATTTGAATCAGAATTCTTTGGATCAGAGTGGATCTTTCATTGAATTTAGCCAAGTCCCATTTCCATGATGCCCTCTCTCTCTCTCTCTCTCTCTCCTGTTGCAAATAATCTGAAGAACTAGGCCTTTAATTGATTTTCATGGGTTTTGATGGGAATTCTCTAAGGAACCAAAATTCAGGGAAAATTCATAGTACTAAATGGTAGATTATTCCCCAATTTACGATGGCTAGATAAAGAAATAGTGCCAACATGATCAAACAGTACCATCTCAGACGCCCTCGCTTTGTGGCAAGCATACTGCTCCTGGGTTTTCTGTTCTCCTAATTTGATGAGCTTACCTAGAAAGTATAATTGTGAGCCATTGGAGAGAGAAATTAACTGGAGTCTGTCATTTCATTGATTGTGGAACATAGTTCTGTAAGGCAAATACTTCATACGTTTGAAAACTTTTCCATTCATCCCATTACGAACGGAAAAGAAAGAAGTTCTGTAAGCTTTACTGGTCTTTTGTGAGACACAAACACCTTGAACTCATGAGTAAGGCAAGAAAACTAGCCAGAAATTACAATCAGAAAATTGAAAACCAAAAGAAATCTCTCGCAGAATTACAAATCATGTAAGCTTAACACGAGAAACATGAATTCAAACACAATGCTGATTTTCGTAAGATATTGAGTCTGCAGCGCGCACAGAACACTAAGGTGTGTTTAACCACTCAGATTCAAGGTGCTTCATATACTGTCTTTCGCTTCCCAAGGAGAGTGCTCATGGCGGGCCTCTGCTTATAACTTCTTCCCTGCACGAGTTAACAAGAGAGTCATAAGAGTTCATAGACAGCAGCATTAGCATCATACAAAATTAAAAATAATGATTGTTAAGCCACCATTATGACAACATAGAGAGAGAGAGAGAGAGAGAGCATCGGAACCATGTTTTTTATTTAATTTACAAACACCTTACATAATTTCCATTCGTAGGGCATTCCAGACAGATACTTGTAGCAGGGACTACAGATTTAGCAAATTATGCAACAAATGTTGTACTTAGATTAGCCTTTAGTATGCAAAAAATGTGGCTTCATGCTGCCACTCCA